GGTTGGGGGGGGGGGGGGGGTGACAATTATCCATATTTTGGATCTCTTTAACTGACTGTATCCATCCCTTTCTCCAGGTTTTTTTGTTTTTTCATCGTATCTATTCTCAGATTTTTTACTTTATTTTCTTAACTGTCACATTTTCTTTCATCTCAACCTACTGACTTGGACTTACATATTCTAGAGTTCATATTTTCTTTGCACAAACTTTCTTTTGCCATTGTGGGACTGAACCAACAGCTTCATCCCACTGAATGAGACCCTCAGCCTGACAAAATGTCTTTCTGTGATTTTCTGTGCTCTCTAGCTATCACTGATGAGTTCTAAAAGAAATGTTATGAATCCCTGCTCTTGTCTTTATTGTTTTTTTTTTTTAATTACTCATCCTGAGTCAGAGAAGGAGCCCCATGTTGCTCACACAGGGACTTTTTGGAGTCTTTTTGATTTGAGGCCACAATAAGAGTTTCTGTCTGCACTGAAGTGAGAGGGTCTCTGATGAGGCTACTGTAACCCCAGGGTAGAGGCGGGAGGCTGGAGCTGTACTGCAACCTCACAGGGCATATGGTCTTGGCAGTGTTTTCTCCAGGGAGCAGCTTCTGCACCACTCAGGGTTTGGCCAAGTCCTCAGCACCAGAGGCTCTGCTGCCCTTATCCTGGCTACAGGGTGCCTTGTTCAGCTGTGGGATGCCGTGTGGTTTAGGACAAAGCCAGGGAAGAGTTCCCAGCAAAACTCTCCAACCAGACTCGGACCACGTAGACATATGGGTACCCCAGGCCCTGGTGCTGCCTGCGGCTGCTCCACTCGCCCTCTGCTCCCTGAATTAGGCTGGCGAACCCCTCCCAAGTGCTTGGAAAGAAGCAGCACCACCCTGAGCCTTGTGTTGGCACAGCATACGTAGCCTTCCTGCCTGGTGCTGCACAGGACTCCCTGGGTACCCTGGCTCACAGTGGGCGAAGGACACCACGCAGGGAGTTTTTAACTCTTCGCGGCATCCCTTCATGAGGAAGAGCTACAGGGAGCTAAGTGCCTGCCAAGCCCTGCAATGAACTACTCTGAAGTTCTGATCCCTACCTGAATGCGAAGCAAAGCAAGGGCTTGCACTGTGCCAGGAACTGTCTCAAGGTGGGGACCCTGGCTGATGCCTTAAATCATTATCTCTTGTGGATACCTACACCTACCACACCCATGTATGGGTTTCTGGGGCCTCTGACCTGGCCTGGCTTAACACTGAATGGTCCAGCTCACTGCTCCTCCTCCTGCCTGCCCTTGGAGGAGTTAAAGATGAATTCCTCTCCATCTCACACCTCACCATGTCCAAAATGTGGGTGGCCTTGATGCCCTGGCCTGAGGGCCCCAAAAGAGCTGCACATGGCAGCTCCAGGCCTGCTCTCTTCTTCCCCATGAGAAGGGTCCAGGATGCCATTTAAGGGAACCAGAGCATGGAAAACCATCTGGCAAGTGGCATGGACCTGTGAGCTGGGGCAGACATGAGAGGAAGCTGGGAGAGCTGAGGAGCCCAAAACCAGCCAAAGACTGCCATGAGCAGGGCCCCTTCCCTGCCCCATTTCCTAGGTCTACTGCCAGTCAGTGTTGGCCTTGTATGTGTAATAATTCTCAATTTTTTCAACCCATAAAGCAAGATGAGTTGAGGGTGTTGCTGCTGGGAAGCGCTCTGCTCTGGGCTGGCGGGTGCAGCCTCTGCTTCTCCATTGTGAGCTCTGTGCTGCTGGGGCTCAGGGTCAGAGCTGGCACCTAGGACCCTGACTGTGATCAGCAGTGTCACCTGCCCTTGCTCAGGACCACTCTCTTTGGGGAAGCAGGTGGGGTTAGGCAGACAAGGAAGGGGCATGCGTTTCCTTCAGATCCCGGCCTCTCTCAGGGTTGGAGCCCGGGACTCTGCAGCACGCTGCTGGAGAAGGTGGTGGGGCTTTGAGTGGGGAGTTCTTTGGAGCTGAGCTCTCAGAAGAAAGTGATGCAGTTCTCAGGGCCCCTGTTGGTTCTGGGGAGAGTGGGCTTTAAGGCAAGGCCACCCCGTACACTTGGCCCCACGTGCATGCAGCCAATTTCCATCTTTTGACCACACCGGGCTGATCAGAGCCCACGTGGGTGAGCTCACCTGGTCATGAACTGCAAGCTAAATAAGCCTCCTCTCTCTGTGCAATGCCCAGCTTTGGGTACTTGCTACAGCAGTGGAAAATGGACTAGTACACAGCCATACTCCCCTCACAGGCTGGGTTCCAACGACCCAGCAGCCCTCCTGGCAAAGTCTCCTTGTGCTCTGGTGGGCACAGGAAGGTCAGCGGCACCCAGGGCCAGGCTGAATTTGCATCTGACCAAGGCCCAGAGCTGGTGCCAGGGTTTTAGGTGAAGGGATGCCTGGATCACCTTGTGAGGACGCAGTGGGGAGAAGAGGTGGGCATGGAGCCCACTGTGGCTTGGAGCATCCCTGACCCAGGTGAGGCAGAACCAGCAGGGACAGGGATGCAGGCCCAACTACGTACCGTTCCCCTTGTCTGAGCGCTGAGGGTGGCTGTTGACGGCACTGGGAACACCGTGGGTGGCCCAGCGTGTGTGGGCAATGCCAAAGTGTGTCTCAAACTCCACCTTTAAGTCCATACTGTCTTGTTCTAAATGAAAGAAAAGTCAGTTTGTGGCCTTTTAAAAATGAACACTGATGTCAAACTGTTACGATAAAAGGATGTCATTACATCATGGCGCGTCAGCTGTGCCAACAGCACCTCTTCACCACTGATCACACGTCCTACCCAGGGGATCTGTGCCATACCTGCACTGAGGTTTACTTAATTCTTATCAGCACTCAACTCATTTTTTAGTCAACACAAACTCTTTATAAAAAGAAAATGCGGCTGGACATGCAGCTCAGTGCAGGAGTGCTTGCCTAGAGTGTACAAGGACCTTGGTCTGATCGTCAGCATCAAAACGAGAGGGAAAAAAAGAAGAATGAAAGAAAAAGATCACTACTATAAGTAGAAAAGCAGTACCATTTGCCATAATATTAAAATAGATACATAACAATTAAAAATTTAAAAACATTCTCCACATGCCACTGCCTAAAATAAACCGTCCCACACTCGGTGAAATGGTTTTGGTGAATGCTTTTGAAATAAACGCTCTCAAGTGGTCCATTGTGCACTGCTCATGCCAATGAAAAGTGTTTTCCACCTACTGTAAAGCTCTTCATCCAAAGCCTTCACCTTGCCCTTTTTCTTGACCAGCTGGATGTGTCTTTCTTTGACTTCATGATTATTCCCATCGATTGCCACACCTGTAGTTTAAACATTCACTTCTTTACATGTTTAACTTTTTATTGAAGTATAATTCATACACAGCACAGAGCACTCATCAGTGAGTCTGGTAAGTGCACACTATCCTGGCCCACACCCAAAAAGATGCGGAACAATCTCATCATCTGTCTGTCCACTTGATTTCCCCTCCCTAGAGAGAAAACACTATTCACATTCCATCACCATGGATGAGTTTTCCTAGAATGTCATAAAATTGGGACCACAGAGATCACTTTTTACAGTGAATGTGCAATCTGTCTCTCTTCAGCATGAAGTACAGCCTACCCTCCACCCCAAGCTCCTGGGCCCAGAGGACAACCAACCACTGAGTAAAGATATGGAAAAACACATAATTCAAACTGTACCTATATTGAACATATACAGATCGTTTTCTTGTCATTCCTTAAATAAAACACTGTGACAACTACCTATATATAGCATGCCTGCTGTATTAGGTTTTACAAGGAATGTAAAGATTTTAAGCAATCAAGTGATGATTATAACGTGTACAGGAGGATGTGGGTGGGTTTTATGTGTGTCACTTTAGCATCTGCGGGGCCCCTGGAACCAGGCTCCCACAGAAACTGAGGACAGCTGTACTGCCGTGTTAAGTCCCTGCGGGGCAAACGTGTCATCTGGGCTGGAGGGGCAGGACTGCTACATCTCCAGCCTGGAGGAAATCCACGTCCTCTCACAGGCAGACAAGCATTCTACCACTGAGCTACACTCCTAGCCTCTATAATTTTATATACATTTTCATTTTTCTATTATCCTAAACTCTTCCCAAACAACGTCTTTCTAACTGGCCACACAATCCTCTCCACTGGATGGCTGTCTCCAGGCTCCTCCACCGCTCACCAACAGCTCGGTATTTAGTCTGTTTCCCATTTGAAATTAAGCAGCCTGAAGAGAAAAGGAGAGCCAGGTAATTTCGTATCCCTAACAGTTCTTAACAGGCCCACTAATAGAGTGGAGGTAGCAGGTAAGACATCATAATGCACAGAGCACCCCAGGAGAGATGCCCTTGACTGCGACTGCAGCCCAATGACGGTGAACCCTTTAGAGACTGAGTGCCCAATCTGCAACCTCAAACTCCTATATTTTATCACAAAGTGCAAGCACTGCAATTGAACCTGAATATTGAAGATTTAGTTTAGAAAAAACAACGCATATGTTAGCATCTTTTGTCTTAAAATAAAAGAGCTTTCAATGACACAAACAGCTTTATTTTTTATTGATTTATTGATTTATTTTTGTGGTACCGGGGACAAACAGCCTTTTATGAAAGGCAAAAGTCTGCACTTGGTGTGCTTTTGCACAAGTAATGTGATCTCTGCCGTTGTGTGCGTGCTGGTACTTGGTCAAACCTTGGCTCACACTTCACTAGTCTGACAGCAACACACACCACGCTCAGGCCATCTAGCAGTCGCATGTGCAAGGCCCTTGTGGGCGCTGATATCTGATGCTTGGTCCCTGCGGCGCGGCTGGGGCAACTTGGCTGGCGAGCAACAGAAGGCTCTATGCTACTGTGGCCTGCGTGCCACAGGTTCGCCAACACTGCCGTCGCCGTCCGTGCTGGGCGTGGCAGCCAAGCCCAAGCATCTAAGCACACATCTGTGCGCTGACTGCGAAGTACTGACTCCCACAGGTGCGGCTTCTTCCAAAATAGATTTCCTGAGTTATCCTTTGATCAGCAATACTGGAGAACAAGAACTGTTACTAGTAAACACAACTTGGGGTATTTTTCCCTGAGGTTTTTTTTTTTAGTTTTTATTTCTTCTTTTCTATATTTTTCTGTACTTTTCTATAGTCTTCAAATATCTTTAATGAACAAATGTTATTTTTATATTGAAAAGAAACATTAAACACGACCAGATAAAAAGCACAGGTTGTAAAAAGTGCCATCATGAAGAAAACAGGCAAGAGAAGAAAAGACCACATGATGTCCCCATAATGCCCCATGACCACCAGGTCACCTGCAGCACCTACCTGCCGAGTCATAGCCTCTGTACTCAAGACGCTGCAGGCCCTTGATGAGGGTCTCAAAAATCTCCTTCCTTGTCCGGGGGACTCTGTAGTTCATGTAAGCAAAAATTCCTGTTCAAAGAGGAAAAAATACATCATGTTAAGCAAACACTCACATTGCATTTAGAGTAAACACTCGGGAAACAGAGAAGGTGGCATCTCAGGAGGGCTCCCGGGCTCCGGACAGAGGAGAATACAGCCCTGCCTGGCATCACTGGAGAATGACACTCGCTGCCTGCTCTGGAGGGTTGTTTACTTAGCCACCCCCAGGGACCAAACAGTCACGAACTGTGTTTCACCTCTTGGCCTTGCAATCCCACGGCAGAGAATGTAACCTCAGGATGCACTTGCAAGAAGACAGCTTTCAGCGTAGTATGGTTTGCAAAGGTTAGCAGAGCAACCCAACTGCCTTGGGAAACTCTGAAGTGCCACCTCCTCTTTGATTGTCAGGGAAGACACCACGGGAGTTTTGAGAAGGTCAGCACCCCCCGTGGCAAAGAGGGACAGGAGCTTTGCTTCCACCTTCCATTTGTCAGCATGGCTTGGGTGTGACCGTGAGTGAATACCACTGTTACAGCAGCAAGAACAAATCTATCTCAGGCCACTGCCCTCTGGAGAATCCTTACTGCAAGGTAGGCTGGCAAGGCTGAAGATTTGATCTGGCTTCATTTTCCGTGTTTATATCTCAAAATAACACTTTTCCAAAAAGGGACCGATAGTCATCATGCTGTTTCTGTCTTTCCAAAATCCTCCACTGTCCTGTGTGCAACTCTGGGCCCTTGATCTATTCTCTCCTGCTGTGTAAATGCGCCATGCACCCCTCCCTCCCTGTCCTTTCCTCCTCTTTGTCCCCACTGGGGAGAACCTATCCACTTCACAGCTCAGCTGCAAGACCACCTCCTAGAAGAGGCTTTTCTTGGCTCCCAACAGACGTGGGCTGTGTGCGCTCGCCTGACGCGGGAGCAAAGGGCTTGCTCCTGACAAGAGGTGAGGTGGAAGGTGAGGCGGTGACAGTGCTCTGCCCTCTGGACCAGGTGATGCTGCCGTTGTGCTGTGGGCCTCACAGGACTGAATTCGCTCTCATGAAAGTCGGTTGTTAGGGAATGAGGCCGCCCCACGAGGGGCGCCAGGTCCCTGCATGCTCCTCTGCCACGCTGCCAAGCAGCCACAGGGCCCTCTCGGAGCCCCGCTCCGTGCCATCTGGTCCTTCCAGTCCCTAGAACTGTGAGTCAAGCCGACACTTATGAAGTACCCAGCTTCTGGGATTTGTTACAGAAACACAGCAGACTAAGACAGGGAAACGGTGGCACTTACATCTTTGTACTCCTCTGTCTCGGCACACAGCCGTTCGGTAAGTGCACGTGGAATAGAGGGGCTACACAGCTGTGTTCAAGGGAAGTCCCAGTGTGGGAAGAGGCTGCCGGGCTGCAGGCATGTTCACCGTAACTGTCAAGGCTACTCAGGATGCCTTGCTGACCACCGCAGAGAGGACAACCTACAAACAGCAGACTGCATTCCGCACCGTTCTGGAGGCTGAGGAGTCCAAGGTCAAGGCGCTGACAAACTCAGTGTCTGGGGAGGGCCAGTTCTTCAGATGGCCGTGTCTCTGCTTCCACACTAGAAGGGTCAAGTGCCCACCCTGTGGGTCTTTTCTAAGGCAGGGATTCCATTCCTGAGTGTTATGCCCCCCGTGACCTGATCACTTCCCAAGGCTCCACCTCCTAACACCAACCTTAGGAGTGAGGATGTCAACATATTAATTTCAGGGCAACACAGATATTCAGATCACAGTGGTAAATAATCTCTTTCAGTAGTTAACAACGTTACCCAAAGCACACTATGTGCCAGGCACTGGGCACAGGGTTCCCCCATAGCTGTCACCACAGTGTGGCCCTGCCCCTGTCGTCTTCACTTCTGGGACAGAAGCCCGGGACTCATCCAGAGTAGAGAGAGGAACGGAGGAGCCTGGCTGCAGGGCACACACACTCCTAACCACTGGGCTCTGCTGCCTTAGGGTAATATCATGTGGACTAAAGCAGATGTATTTCCCCAATTACACCTGGCTGGGGATAACTTTTTCCAGGGATGACCCTCAACGGAGAACAGCCTGCTCGAGGACAAGGGCTGACCACCGCCACATACGTCACCACTGTGGTATCTCTAGGCATGAAGAAGCTCAGAGGCACGTCGTTAAGTCTGAAAGATCAAGCCTCAGTGAATGAATGTTATATTGGATCCCATCGCGCCAAGGCTTAATTTACTGAAATTCATCTGCATATACTTGGTCAGAAAATAGGCCGCAAAATTAAACAGTACTGAAGCTATATATAACATTCTTACATAGCACACATTATCGTCATGGGATAATTTGCACATACATATCAAGGCAGAGTTCAGATATAAAAATATGCACACTGTGCTTTCTGAGCAGCTACAGACGTCTTCTTTTAAAAATGGCTGAGGGCAACGTTGACAGTAAGCTATTTCCGTCTTCCTCAGTGGGCGACCTCGGGTCAGGTGAGAGGCGCTGAACATGAGGGCTACATGCAGTGTGGACCCTCGGTCAGGCAAAGGGGCCTCCTTGAGCAGGAGCTCACACTGTGACCACAGAGATATCTTGGATGCATTTTGTCACCTTACTTATTATTTTAAAAGTTACCTTTTACCATCAGCATTAAAAACTGTAACAGCTTTCTTGAGCTATAAAAGCAGCACATTATCCCATTTAAAGTATACAATTCAACGATTTCTAGACTGTTTACAGATGTGTGCAGCCATCACCAAAATCTGGCAGTGAGAAATTTCCCTGGGTGATACAGCCAGGTTCCAGTAAATAAAAGGCCATCTGGCTATGGCAGTCATGTGAAGAATGAAGCAGCTCAATGTAATCATCCTTGCTCTCAAATCTTTGCTTTGTTTTGGGGACACTGGGGCTTTTGCACTGAGCTACATCCCAGCCCTTTTCTGTTTCTTTTTTTTCTAATTTTGAGACAGGGTCTCCCTCCTCCCTCCCTCCCTTCTTTCCTCCGGTGGTGCTGGGGATCCACCCCAGAGTCTTGTGTGTGCTAGGAAAGTGCTCCATTGATCTACACCTCCAGCTCTTTCTGATATTTATGTACCACATGCAATACTTAATTACCATGGCTACACACTGCTTCATTCAAATTCAAATTTTTCCTTTTGAAACTTTCTGGAATTTTTTCTCAGATGCTTTCCACCCAGGATTGGTTAAATCTGTGAATCAAAAATATTTGGAAAAAAGCTTGCATCTTGTCCTGCATATGTACAGACTTCTTCTCTTGTCACGATTCCCTTAACAATATAGTATACAAACAATTGGCATGGCATTTACATGACATTAGATATGATCAGGAGTCTAGAGATGACTGAAAGTATACCAAAGCATGTGTATAGGCTCTGTGCAAATACTATACTATTTTACACAGGGAACTTCAGCTTCCATGGATTTGATATCCATGGGGGTCCTGAAACGAACCCTGCCTGAAACCAGGGGATGTTTGTACTTCTCGAGGGGCACTCAAAACTCAGGGAGCAGTGGTCCTCTTAGAAGTGGCTGGCGATGTGGGGCAGACACTTCCTTTTCCACCGCATTTTTATTTGTATGCCTGAGATATTTCACAATGTTTCATTACATGAATTAGACAGTGGTAAATACATAAGAGTTATCTAGACGACTAGAAAAGATTTAGAAATGGTCTCATTCCATCAGAAGGGGGACATCCTAGCCAAGACACAAGGGTTGACAATGATGAACTCTGTGGAGAGGGGCGAACGCAGCACAGCCTCGGTGCATCCTGACTTCTGGTGTGCACAGCCAGCACAGTGAGGGGCCTGAGGGCCTGCAAGGACGGGAGCAGCGACAGTGAGGCACCGGGACCTCCCACCACACCTCTTCAAACTCTGCTTTCCCAGGCTTGTTCCAGCCCGCCTATCTGGCCTGCTGTGCCACAGCGTTGCACTCCCCTAGGCCAGGTCTCAGCCACCAGCCAGGTCCTGGCCAGGTCCTCCTGCCCTGCCTGCCTGAGCTGAGCGAGGCAAGAATCTCACTGTGGACCCCCAGCCTCCCACCTGCAGGAGCAGCCACAAGAGTGGGCTTTCTGCCCACTTAAGCACACGTCCCATCCAACCCTACAAGGACCTCAGGGTCCTCCCACTGAGGTGGTTCCTTCCTTGGCCTTTCCTGCCTATACTATAGCAAGATGTGTAGTGCGGCGGCTGTTTGGGGCTAGGGCCAGATGCCAGTTCCAACCCACCAGTCCTCTGTGCTTTGCGTGGCCTTAGCAGGTTGCTGGACACCTGGAACAAATTTTCTTATTGGTGAAACCGGGGGAATGGCAGAATCTACTCACTAGATGGCTGTGACAATTCAGAGTGCTGTATCTATGCATGTGTAGCACACAGCACAGTACTGGCCACATATCGAGCAGCCTTTCAGTTAAATGGAGCGGGAAGCTTCCTACTCCTAGGGTTCTTTGGCCCAAATGCAACGTGTGCCTGTGGTACATGGCCAGATTGGAGAAATTATTATTAAATAAGGCCAATGGCGAAAGAGTACCACCTTGTTGTTGTTTCTTCTTGGACTTCCACTTTGGGGAAATAGTGGTTAAGCCACATGCGTGATTTGGCTGTGGCTTGAGCAAGATTTAATTCATCCCATAAACCGTTTACTCTCGAGGGCCTTGTCCTTGGAACACTGAGGTGCAGAGTAGGCCTCACAGAGTGGAAGCCCTCGGGCTCTGCAGGGAGAAGGATTTCCTGTTGGGGTTGGGGGCAGAAAGCCCCAGAGCTGGCTTTTTACACAGATGGTTTCCACTCATTCTGCAGGTTTCAGCTGACAGGTCACCCACGAAATCACTGCAGTCCCCTGTCCACCTTCTAGTAGCTACATCGCCCAGTTTACTTCCCATACAGCATTTGCCCCTTGCACCCTGCTTACTGCCATCCTTGTGAGGGTGGTGACCATATCTATCTCTGTATGTGCAGCACCTGGTCCAAGTATATGTGAGATATAAATGAACAAGCAGCTGTTGAATGAAGGAATGTGTGAGTAA